ATAGGTTAAGGTCAAAAAGTTCCACGAGTTAGGAATCATTTATACTCTGCTTCTTAAGGGAACTGAAGATATTTTCTAACAGGAGAAGATAGATTCTACTACTGCACAGTAAATATGAATAGAAGAGTCTTGTGAAAGGGAATATTGTTACAACAGGGACTATAGATAAGACAGGGTGCATTCTAGAAGAATGCTGCACAAAACCAAAACATTTTCTGTCTCTTCCATATAATTTACTTTTCCAACATAGTCAGTCAGCAGCTATTCATCAAACTGCAGACATGCTCTTGACCCAGGAGATACCATAATGGAGGCACTCTGTCACTAAGACAGACCAGGTTCTGGTCTGATGCTCATGGACCTTAGCTACCAGTGCAGGCAGAGAAATGATGAGCAAATGCAGAGTATTAAGAATCCATCCCAGGATAAACCTACTAAAATCTGTACACCTAAAGAAACTAATCAAGAGGGAGGACTCTTGCTATCCAGAAAGGCAAAGAGGGTGGACACCAGAAGAAGAGGAAAAGAGGGAACAAGTCAGGAGCCTGACACAGAGGACCTCTGAAAGGCTCTGTCCTGCAGACTATCAAAGCATATGCTAAGACTTATGGTCAACCTTTGGGCAGAGTGCAGGGAATCTTATGAAAGAAGTGGGAAACAGTAAGATCTGGAGAGGACAGGAACTCCACAAGGAGAGCAACAGAACCAGAAAATTTGAACACAGGGGTCTTCCCAGAGACTCATACTCCAACCAAGTACCAGGCATGATGGAATGATGGTGCCAGGTGGGAGCAGGAAACGCACAGGATGACCTAGAACACCCTGTGGTATTAAAAAAAGAGTGTGCGAAAAAGGAACCAACACATAGAACAATGGAAAACGAGACTCCACATACTGGGATGTGTCACAGGGCCAATTACAAGGCTTCTCAAATGCCAAGGCTGGCAGAAATGAAGGGACCAAGAAAAGCCAGCATGGGGGTGTAATTCAAATGACAAAATCTATGCCCTCAAGTCTATGCCAATATAAATGAGTGACCAAGTGAGTGAAATGTGGAGAGCAAGAAACAAAGAATCCACCAAGGATATCTCCTAATTATTTCTGTGGCTGATCCTACAGGAGTGCTCCCATCCTAGCCCTCCTTTGTTGCTCCCCACTGATCCTGGGTGGCTACACACAACCACTGTCTTTAAAGGAACATAGTATAGAAGTGGGGAGGAAAAGAATTTACAGTGGAGAGACAATGCAATCACGACCTATTCCAAGTGACCAGAGCAACATTGACAGTCATGAATATGAGTCATTGAAATGTTGAGATATAAATGGCATTTTACCTCTGGGATCTCCCTCCCTCGAGCCATAATTCAATCAAATAGTAAAAAAAAAAAAAAAAAATCACATATGTCCCACCAGAGGGGCATCCTATAGTATGCCTGGCCAATATTACATCTTAAACAAAGATGAGTTAGGGAAGTGCCACAGCCAAGAGAAACCTGGAGAAACAGTAGCATTAAATACACCGTGGTGTCAAAGATGGGATCCTAGAACGGAAAAGAACATTGGATAAACCTAACCGGATCTGCATGAGCTTAGTTAATAATAAGGCAACAATATTTATTTATTGTGTATGTGTACACATTCATGTCACGTCGCACATGCTGAAGTCAGAGGATAATATTAGGGTTTCTGCCTCTACCCCATGGGTCCCTGGAATTAACTCAGGTCACCAGGCTTGGTCACAAGCATCTTTACCTGTTGAGTCATCTCACCAGCCCTCAATTTTCCTTAAATCTACAAGTGTTTATCAAAAGACAAAAAAGAGGATTTGGAGATCAGAGAGCCTCTATTGGTGGTTTTGAACAAACAAGCTTCCTAACTTCTCCACCTGCCAGGAGAGGAATTCCATCAACACTGAAAGGATATTAAGCCTCAGAAGAGAGCACAATTGCAAACTTAGCATAGTTTAGTAAGATTCTCAACTGAGAACTCTGTCAAGCTATTCCTGGAACCGATTGATAATGATGTTTATTGTTTAAAGTTGCTTATGAAGTAGCAATAAACACCCAAACAATACATACCTATGCAAGAAGAGACACACTAAAGAAATTTAAATTAATTAACTGTAAAGCATGCCTGCTGTGTTCACTGAATTCCTGGTCAAGGAGACTCTGAGGGGAACCTTTGAGTAAGAATGTCAGCCTAAGAAAAGAGAGATTCATAAGTTGTTGCTATGGTCAAGATACCAGGCAGCTCCAGGGCCTGAAGCAAATGTATGTGTTAGAACAAAAAGGCAGCCAGGATGGGTGGAACAGCATGAGTACAGGAAGAAACAGAAAGGGAAGAAACAGAGAGAGGCAAGGTCAGCCAGAATGTAAAAGGCTTTTAAAGAAAGGTAAGGGATTGAGATTAAGCTTTAACGGAAAGTCCTTAGGCTACTATTGAGAGGAGGTGAGTGACACATGATTCATAGTTCAAACAACTAATTTATCCTGGGATGGTAAGATGCCTCAAGTGTGTAAAGGCACCTGCTACCAGGCCTGACAACCTGAGTCTGATCCATGAGATCTACATGGTGATGAAGAAAACCAGCTCCCCAGGGATGTCCTCTGGCCTCTAAACACACACACACACACACACACACACACACACACACACACACACACATACCTGTGCGCACAGACACACATTAAAATGTAACAAAAAAATAAAAAATAAAAAAAAAAAACTCATGCTAACTGTTCTATTCAAGACTGACCGTGAAATAACCATGGTAGAGTCAGTTTGGCCAACAAGGGACTTTAGCGCTAGTCTAGGCAAAAGATGGCATGCCTTAGCCCTGGCTCAGGACAAAGGAATGAAGGTTTCCAGCTCTTACGGAAAGGCACTTGATGCTATAAGCATAGGCTAGTGGTTCCAACTCCCCTCAGGAAAGCTGTGTGCCTAAGAGGCTCCCAGGGAGGGAGTCAAGAGTGAGCAGAGAAGTGCCACATGGCCTGTCCCTGTCTTACCCTGTCCCCGAGCCTCCAGATATCCCTGATGATTCATTACGCTGGTTATGTGGACCCACATGGAGTTGTGCCAGTCTGGGCTAGATCTGCTCTGGAGGTGCTGCCAAAAGGAACACTGGATCCCACCCACTATCCCCAGCCTCCTGGCCAGACAATGCTGCCCTGCTTAATTAACAGTTTGTTAGTGGTTAGAACACAGTGTGAGGTACCCTCTCTTTAACTCAGAAACAGTCAGAGGTAGACAGGAGAAATGCCCAGTGCATGCCATCTTCCTACTAGGGCAAGAAGAGGGTGTAAAGACAATTCTTCAGTCTTTATTTTGGTCCTGAAAAAAATGCATATGTTTTATAAATCATAATTACCTATAAAATATGAATACACACTTAGATATTGTAAATATATATTTATAATTTAGAATGGCACATATCTAGGCAAGAAGTAGACTAGTACAGAAATTTGAATTAATTAAAATGTAGAACATGCCTAATGTGTTCGGTGAATTGCTTCACGTAGAGTTACCAGTAACTCGACCATCGGAATCTTGATTCTACATAGTCCATTCAAAAGATTTTGTTGTATTGGTACATTTGTGTCTGTAGGTACAAGTGTATGTGTGCGCACATGTGAGTATATGAATGTGTGTGTGCATGTGTGCAGGTACATGAGCATATGTGTGCCAATGGGAGCATATGTGTACAACGTTGGGTGTCCTTCATCAGGGGCTGTCTGCCTTGCTTTTTGAGATGGGTCTCTCACTGGCCTAGAGCTTGCTAGCCAAGCTAGGCTAACTGGCCAGTGAACCACAGGGATTCATTTGTCTCTGCTTCCCTGGTGCTGGTATAACAAGCAGCCACCATCACACTTAGTCTTTTTACATGGATTCGGAGGACTGAACTCTGCAAACAAGCCTGCAAAGCAAGCACTTTAATGACTGAGCCATTGCCCCAATCCAAATGTCTTTTCTGTCTTGCTGAGTCTCCCCTTTCTACCTGCTTACCCTACTCACATCTGGCCAGCCCCAGGCACTGCTGCTCTTGGTCTCTACAGGCTTCTCTTGCTTCTGGACCAATATAATCACTAGGGTACCTGGGTCTGCTCAGTTACAGACTGCCAAGACACCTCCACCCAAGGGAAACAAAGGCTACATGACCACATTTAGGGAAGTACCTGTGCAGTTTGAAAGATGCCAGAGTAGATGGCGAGAAAGCTTCTACTTTTCTCCAACCAGAGCTGATCGCTCCATAACTATGCAGTTCTCAACAGCCCAATAAAGGCCGTTGGGCTAACTCAACGTCCATGAAAGTAATAAGTACAGGAAACAGAAATGGGAGGATCTAGTCTTGTCCTTCTACTGCTTATATATTTTTCATTTTTTTGTTTGTTTGCTTGCTTACTTTTCTTTTTTAATTTTAATTTTATTTTATTTTTCAATTTATTCATTATATGTCCGAGTCCCACCCTCACTCCTTCCCCCCCACATTCCCTTCTCCTAGTCCACTGAAAGGGGAGTTCTCTTCCTCTGTCATCTGACCATAGTTCCCTGGTGCTGGTATCAAATCTCATTTGGACTGCTTTGTTTTAAAACGTAAGTCAAGGATGAGCGTGGGCCTTAGGAGAAGAAATACCTCTTTGTTTGGTCTAATAAAAAATAGAGAACACAGGAGTGTAAAATGTCTAGCATATCCTGGTTTCATGCTTCCAAGTCTGAGGTCTCCATCTACTGCCATTAAAGTCTCAGAGCTACAGTGTCTACCTTCCATCTAGGCACTGAAGTCCCCAGGACTCTAGACACTGATGGCTGTCTCTCATTTCCTTTAACATCGCTAACAGTGGTCAATAGCAGACAAGGACAGAGACTGACTATGAGCCAACAGATGAGGGATCAAAGTATTGGCCATGCCCTTCTGCTGTATCCTCTTACCACTTCCCCACAGTTCCAATTAACAGGATCTTCCCCAGCCTCCCCACCCCATCAGCAGCGTTCAGCCTTACCTCCCATGAGGAAGAGAAGCCCTGCCACATACTGCATAAGGCCTCGGTCCCAGCAGCAGCCCAGGACACCGATGATCCAGCCGAAGAGGATGATGGCCACTGCCATGCCCATGAAGCCAGCTGTCATTCTACGCAGGTCTGTGAGGAAGCAGGAGGGAAACAGCATGAGAACATGGGATAGGATGGGGTTGCACATGCCCTAGGCCAGGGGCATGGAGTAGAGGGTAGGGGCACTTCGAGGGCAGGAAGACTACCTATTGAGACCCCTACCCAGGAGAGACCTACTGGTAGCGACTGCCTCCTGCACAAATGTGCAGTGACTGCTGGCTTCCTTAAACACAGGGCAGACATTCTATCCCCTGTGGGTGTTGTCTCACCTCATCTGTGCTAGGCAAGGGCCGCCCTTCATGTGAGAGTAGCCCATCCTTAAGACACAGGTGCTGTCTTTAGCCTCATGTGGACAATGGAGCAACTTGCTAAAAGGAACACAGTAAGTGGTAGAAAGAATTCAAACCCAGAGTTGTGGTTAACTCCAGCATTAGCCTTTTGGAGAAAGAAGAGCAGGAGTGTGGGCTGCTGGAGCACAGCAGAGTCTCTGAAGACCAGCCCTCCCTCCTTTAACTCTGGGTCTGTGATGGGAGAAGTCATATGTGAGAATCTGGGGTGGTTTTTTGTTTTTTGTTTTTTTTTGTTTTTTTTTTGGTGGGGGGTGGTTGTGATCTGCTCCATCCCAAGCTGTCTCTTGGAGATTAGTTTTGCCTGCAACCTTGGAAGCAGAGGAAAAGCCACATCTTTATCCCTTGGTGTGAGCCCCTGGAGCAGGCCCCTTCCTTGCACTTGCCTTTCTCTATAGATCCATTCTAGGGTCCACTCCAACAGGGTAAGCACCTTGCCTGCTCTATACTTCTGTGACCTATCAGACAAGGCCAGGAATGATTTGGTTAGGAAGGAGGTTACTGGGAAAATGCCACTTTCAGCAGAAAGGAGAGGGCAGGACTGGTCCATATCTCTGCTGGCTACTTAGCATCTTTCCCAACTCAGCTTCTCTGCTGGCTCCTCTCCTGTGGCCAGATGTCACCAGAGCTACTCTCACACACACACCCTCCATGGGTATGGCACTGGCCTGGACTTGTTCCCAAATGTTTTCCTTCTCTCACTCTTTTTTTTGTAGAACTGACTTTTGACTTTCTTCTGGGGAGCACCTCACCCCATCACATTGGTCATGCCTTCTGAATTTGCCTGCACTCCCTCATGCCTACATTTAAGTCACTGCATCAGCCTTAGCCTGCAAACAGAGTTCTAGGCAAGAGCGAAGCCATTTTATCTGGCCTTTGCCCCAGACTCTGAATTCTTTGCAGCATCATAGAGCATCCTAGAGTTCTCAAGGACATTTTTGTCTCACAAAGGAAGCATCAAGGTGTTGGAGAAGGTGTCTGCCTGGAATCAAGGTACCTCATGTCCATCATTGCCCCAACTACCTCTTCTTGTCCCAGAGGAACACACACACAACAGGGTTTCTGTGGGACTGGGGATCTGAGTCTCTCATAAGGAGGCCACCCCTGCATCCTTTTTTTCTCTTAAATTAGAATCATGAAGCACACACAAAAGGACCTCTGCCTCTAGCAGAGCACAGTTTGAGTCAAGATCCATTTGTTCAGGGATCTAATCTCTTTGTTCTGACAAGGAAAACCAGACATTGTCGGTCCCAGCCAACAGAAGCTGACTAAAGAGTGGAAGGCACAAAACAGAGGGAAGACAATGACCAGCCCTCCCATCTGGGAAGAAGAAGGCCACAGAAGCTGGACAATTCTCCAGTCTTAGAGGCAGAGACCCTGAGAGGGGCAACAGAGCAAACACCTGTCCTGCCTGGTTCTCCTTTTCCTTCCTGCTCCGGAGGGGTAGAAATAGCACCCCGTATTCACTGCTGTGAGTTGCCAAGGATGCCTCGTTATCACATAGCACTATACAGATTGCTCTCACTGCCAAATGAGTCAGGCAAAGCTTTGTTGAAAGAGTCATTTGATGACAATACTAAAACATGTGCTCAGCCTTCTGCACAGCCAGTCATAGCTCGAAAGAAAGGAATGTCCCTGCTCATGGGCCAGTCCCAGTTCTTGTGGGTCAGTTTCTAGGGGCTCTGCATTGCTTGTTGCTTGGTTTTCATCACCACAGTCACACTCACTGCCATCAATGGCATCCTTCTTTCCTCACCACAAAGGCCTGATCTGCCTTGTCAGATGTGAGGCCATGTGAATGGATTTCTAGGAACCAGATAATATGTTATTAATACTTTAACCCTGCTTGCTTGAAAGACAAATGGGAAGATAAAGAATCCAGCTCTCCTGCTGGGAAGTTTGGTACCTTGAATAGAAGGTACTACATTCAGTACCCTTTCGTGGGCTCTTTCCTTTTTCATCTCTTGAAGGCTTCTGGGTCCTGTCCCCTATAATTCTAAAAAGCCTACCTTTTCTGGAGACCAAATTCTCATCTGACTTTACTGCCTAGAATTCCTACATTGTCCCCAGGCTCTATAGACCCTTGGAAGCAAAGACATTGTCTAAGGGAATGAATGGTTGGTGGGTCACATTAAGTGAGCCCGTGCTCACCAGAGATGGGCCTGTGGGTTGGTGAGGCAGGAAATCTAAAGACAATACCAAGTATGGGAGGTGACATTTATTGAAGAATGAGAGCAAAGTGTTTTATCTATTAGAAAATGGAAGTGGGCAGAAAAGCAGGGAAGGGGGAGAAGATAATTACTATTCCAAAAGTTCTGGGCAGGCCCCAGTCATCTGGGTCTCAGGTGATGGGGGCCAGTTGCCGTCTCTCTCTCAGCTTAGGTAAACTTCTGTGTCTCCCACGGGGTATTGCTGACTGAGGTAAAGGGTTGTTCTAAGTTGTTGATGTGGAAAAGGATGAAAAAATAGAGGTCCTGACTGTGTTTTCACTGACCCAGGGAAGATTTTCACATCACCCTTGAGTCTGACTTTGTCTAACATCTATGTGAACAAGCGGTTCTTTTCTCCTTGGAGAGTTAACTGAGTTATCTATGTGGTAGCTCAGGCAAGCTACTATAATAGGTCAGAAGGCAGGCAGGACAAGAAATATTCCAATTTTACAGATGAGAAAAAGGCAAAACCCAAAGAAAAATAAATGAGTTTTATTGACAGTATCAAAGCCAGTGGACTGCAAATAAAGGTAACAACTGTGTTATTGGGTTGTATGAGAAAACAGGATGAATAAAAGAATTAAATTTGATGTGAACTGATGCATGAAGCATTTATTTTTCTAAAATCAAGCCAGAACTATAGCTAAGAGATAGAGAACAAAGGAAAGAACAGTGGGATCCATGAGACTGCTGGGTGTTGGAAATGACTGGACCAAAAGTAGCATCAGGAAAACCCACCTGCAGAATTCCCCACAGGCTTAGGTACTCATCCATAAAGGGCCTTTGAGATTGGGTGGTAAATAGAGAAGCATGAAACAAGTATTTTGAGGGAGTTATTTGAGAAGAGTTTGAGTCCAGATCCTCCGACCACTCCACACCACTGAGGGGCATCCATTTCTTCCAACTTCATGGGCAATCAACAAAAACTTAGGAATGGGTGGCAGCCTTCACCAAGGGTTAGCCAGAACAGGTGAGGGCATGGTTCCATGCTGGTTTATGACAATACCCTTACAGGAAACTTTTGGATGTGAAATCTTACCACTAGACACCCCCAACTGTCTTTTATTTGGTTTCCAGAAGATGGCTGTTAGACATTCTCCTCCAACCTAGGCTGCTCTATGACAACCCATCGCACCATGGAACTCTGGGAGCAAAAGTACTGCTTTAAAAGGCTAAGTGTATGGTGGGTCCCAAGTCTCAAGTCGACTTGGGCTTTCCTCACTGACTCAGTAGTTCCCAGCAACTATTTAGCACCCTGCTTTTAACCTTGAGCAGGTAAAGGCACTTGCTGCTAAGTCTGACAACCTGGGTTAAGTGCCTGGGACCTACATGATGGAAGGGGAGAACCTACTCCCACGAGCTGTTCTCTGACTCCTCCCACACGCAACTTAGCATGTGCATGCCCACATTCATACACAGTCATACGCACAAACACACAAAATAAATACGTGCAAAAAATAAACACAAGAAGGCAACCAACTGAGAAAATCCTACAGCTAGGGTAAGGTGGGGAAACTTGGGAAAGCAAATTATATAAGGTGATAAAAAAAAAAACAATGTATAAGTATTAACATCCTCAGAGAGATAAAAGCTGAAGGATATTGTTTCCATAAAGTAAAAACTGAATACTGTTTTTTTTTTAAAGGCAAGCATGAAATAGAATGAGAGAATAAAAAAAATCAAGGAAATCTACAAATATTCCAACTTCTTATTATGCTCCAAAAGACTTAAGGGGTCCTGAAAAATACCCACACTAACAAGGACATGAAATGATGACATGAGCCTGGTTGCTTCTCAGAAGTCTGAGAATGAAGGAGCTGAAGTTCCAGTCCACCCTGGGCTACAGAGTGAGTTCAAGGCTGGCTGAGCAACTTAGTACTATCTGGTCTCAAAAATAGAGACTATAAAAAGGGCTGGGGCTACAGATAGAGTGGGGTGGAGGGCTGCCTAGCATGTATGACGTCCCAGGTACAAAAAGAAAAAGAGAGAGGGAGGGAAGAAAGGAGACAGAGAAGGAGAAAGGGAAGAAGGGAGGGAGGGAGGGAGGGGGAAGGAGAGAAAAGAAAGGAAGGAGAGAGAGAGAAAAGAGGATAAATAAATATAAACAGATGGATGAATGTGGCAGGAAAGAGAAAGAAGACACTATCTATCCTTAATTTACACATAAAATCTGGTCCATAGAGCCCTTGGGAAGGCTACCACATTCCTTTATTTAAATGTAGAGGCATTAAAGTGTATTGCGTCTGTTGTTTAACAATCTCTCTTGCTTTTTGTTTGCATTTGAGTTAGTGCCATCTGTCACTCTGTAGTCACATGTAGATGGTGTCACAGCTCTTCTTTGACCTACCTGCCATCTTAGCTCTTTAAGAATAAGAAACTACCACTTAATTCCTGTAGTTTCCTTGAATCTACAGCAATATCCTGTAGCTGGGAATTTACACAGTTTGTATTTTTTTTCCTCCATCACTTACTG